TTTTAAATAAATTTGAGGATTGTATTTAATTAAAGGAAAATATTATTTGGACAACAAAAGTTTGACACAATTTTGACAACGGCGACGTGGCAGCTGTGCATTGGCTCAGTGAATTGAAAACAAACCAGAAAAAACCCAAAATACCCCTCACCCCGGTTCACTGAGCCAATGCACAGCTGCCACGTCGCCGTTGTCAAAATTGTGTCAAACTTTTGTTGTCCAAATAACATTTTCCTTAATTAAATGTTGAAACAAAAATAATTTTGTTCATTTTTATATTTATCAATTTCTTGTTGGTTGGATTAATTTAATCACTCAAGTATACATTATCTTGCAGTAATATCTGGAATAAAAAAACCAACATATTAACAAAATGACTTCAAAATAAAGACAGTAAATAGTTCCCTGCATTATTGATTCATGGAGTTTTCTGCTATTGTTAACTATTATTGAACATAGTTCCATGGATTTTAATACTTTTATTTCGGCAGCATCAATATTAGTAATATATTAAATAAACTAAAAGAAGCAGAACACCTAACCGTGTAGGTAGAAGTCCTTAAAATTAAAAGGAGGGCAGCCTCAATAGCATCTGACTGTAAGAAAAATGGTGGGTGGAAACTAAATGGTAGATGGCATCAAGAGAGAGAAAAATATATAGATATAATAGATTATATAAATCATATCATGTTATAATAAGACAGGAATAGAGACAAAAGAGATTATAAAATCTAATATAAATTACAATGATACTTCCTAAGGATTTCTCAGATTGCACATAACCCTCATTGTTTTTTAATATTTTTCAAACAATCAAGGGTTAGTATCTGTGTGTATATATATTATACATACATACATATATATATATATATATATATATATATATAGAGAGAGAGAGAGAGAGAGAGAGAGAGAGAGAGAGTCAATGTAATACTAAAACAAGTAAGGAGTTTCCTCTAGGTCCCTGAATATCAAACGAGATAAAGAAAAAGATAAGAGGCAAATGTAATTTATTCAGAAAATTGTAGACTACCATAAAAAATTAATTTGTATGGTCCCAATTAGCCCATGAAAGGAGGCCACTAGCTATGGTCAAAAGTAATTTGAAAATCATTACAAGGAATGAATGAAGCAATTATGCAGATGAAAAATTAGAAATGAAGAAAAGATTATCATCAAACTCAGTTTGTTTCATAAAAAAAAGTACAGATGAAGAATCTGGAAACTTACAATGGTTAAAAAGAGACAAGTATGATAGTAGATTGTCCAATACTAACTAATAAGAGTGAGAAATTACATCATCAGTCTTCGTCATAAGAGACATGAAAGCTGGTTGTGCAACCAGAAGCTTCAGGGTCTTCAGCCCCACAACAGTCATAGAACTTTGCAGCATAAGGTGGATCATCCGGGCCCAATTCATAGTACCTTCATAATTAACAAAAAAATAAATGGCAGAATATGGGAATGGATTGATAATTGAAGTTGAAAAGATATAAATTTCCAGGTCACCAGCCTGGCATTCACATTCACCTGATAAGGTGAAGCCAAGTCTAAGATCTGGTCAACTTAAAACTTCATTCCTAAAATAACAGGTAGCAGGCTGTCTATCTCATTGCCTTTGAAGAAAAAAAAACACACTGATAAATATCCATTGTCCTTCTCACTTGGAAAAACATTGTTTGACACCATTTGATGAAAGGGTAAAATAGTAATAAAAATAAATAAATTCTTGCATTTGTAAAGAAAAAGAGAAAGTAAAAAATAATAAAGAATAGCGTGAAATGAATGTAAAAAAATTATGTGTCAAAGTATCATTTTCTTTATGTTACCTTCGAGTAACTTACACGTAAGCATCTTCCAATTTTAGTTGTCCAAGTACAACATTGGCATGTTATGCTTTGCTTTATTTAAGATTCTTTGCTGCAAGATTTAGAATCTTTTATTCCTCTTACCACTATCCTGATTTAAGTACTCACGTAAGAATATGATGAACACAATGAACGAGTAACAAAATTCCGGACTTTGAAACAGAGAAATTACAGGAATTTACAAAACTTCATTGTGTTGTGTGTGTTTTGCAAATTACCATAAAAAGTTGTACTGTGAATAGGATGTCTGACATGTGAATCCCCTGTGCCTAGTAGAAATTTGAGGTTATAAGTGGGAAATTTGTGGAGATTACAAGATTTTGACCACTAAAAGCCCGTCGAACTCCAACAACAAACAGGATCCGAGAACTCGTTACACAATGGCTATAATCTAAGACAAATTATCCCTTTTGTCAGAAAACTTGTCAAGAGTTTTGGTAAGTGAATATATCAATCTGACAGTCTTAAAAATAATCAAGAAAAGGAAGATATATCAGAAACTTTCTCAATGTTGGAAGGTTTTCAGTCAAACTCAGTATTGACTGTTGTAAATTGTAATAAAAGAAGGAAAGTAGTGAAATAAACATACTTAGTTTCAGCTAAACGAAATCTTAAAGCCTTTGCATGTACAAAGTGATGCTTCAGAGGTTTATTATGAATCATGTTCACAGACCAAGTCTTTTACCACGAAGTCCTTAACAGTTTCATGGTTTTGATTAAATCTTTTTTGTTATCTTTATCTACATCTGGCCATAAGGCTATCCTTCATCAAACTATCCTAACTGCGGCTTCTATCCATCATCAACATGCTACTGGCAGAAACAAAAACGTTCTTTCTAACCAAAATAAATGTAACATATTCCATTCTTCTTAATATGGTCTTAAAAAATCAGGTCACGACACTTTTAGAAAATATACCTTTTATGTAAATCGTCATCTGCAACCACAATAAATCCAGAAACTTCCATTACATTGTTTTTCTTAAACTGTGGCTTATAACCACTACATTGCTCAGAGTTTTTCTTCTCAAAACATTATGGAAAGTTGTGAGGGCTGCATGCATAACTAGCTTATCAATCCTATTTGATAAACAATTTTATCTTTTTTTCTGTCAAAAATGAGTGAAGTGACCCTCAATCAAGAGGTAAGCAAACTTGGTAGGGGCTTGAGGGGTCATTGCAATGTCCAGAAGGAAGGATTGACAGAGGATATTAGAGTATACATGTTGATGCCAGGATTGATGAATTTTCAATATAATTTCTTTCTCAAATACAACAAAATGAACAAACTTAGGTATCATATTAAGCCTTGTTCTCAGATTATTGGTATTGAAAAAAACTGGTAATAAAGAAAAATGCTGGGCAGTGCGATGATAAAGTCACATGCTTCTGCAAGAACACAAAGTTGCTCTAAATGCAAAATGGGAAGCCATTTATACATGACAAATAAGAAATCCATGAAAAAAGGTGACAAAACATGACATTGAATCAAAATCCTAAAACACTGATACAAGAACACGATGGTCATAACATAACCCGAATTAACCATTTTTTTCAGGGAAAAAAAGGGAATTTAATAGGATTGTGAACAAAAATTGGAGCTCCAAAAAAGAGAGTTTAAATTGGTAGATAAAATAATACCTCTTCTGATCGTCGTGACGGCGACAAACGAAGAAAGAAGTGTGGAAACGGCAAGAGGATGAAGTGTTGGAATTTGGGTCATAGCTCTGTTTACACCTTTTGCAAACCTTTGAATTTGAAAAGATCAATTCTTTCTGTTTCTGCTTCTCTTTCTCCTTCTCCATCTCCATCTCCATCTTCTTCCTCACAACCTTAACAATAACCCAGCATTCAATATTTTCTTTTTAAGAAGAAACAAATATATAAAAGTTTGGTGAAGAAATAAAATTTTTCATCTCCATAGAGGAGAATTTTTTTATGATAATTTATTTAAATTGTAATTTTTCATTTCATAATTTTTTTGTCTGCCATCATAATCTTCGTATTATCCCAGATTCACGCTTCAGACTTCAATTTTATATATTTATTTCTTTATTCCTAACCTGTTTCTCTAGAAATAATTTAATTGATTAAATGTATATAAAAAATGCTTATGAATGATTAAATAAAAATGGCGAATTCGCAAACTCTGAATAGTTTTGAGTGGTAAAATATTTTCACGTTTTTAAGTACCAATATAGGTAATATAAAGTTACAAGAGTTATCTTTTATAGGGTCTATTTGAATTTACGGTTCAACACTCAAACTAATTTTCAATTTTTATTACATAATATATTAATATATTTTATATTTTTAAATTATTATATTAAATAATATGAATAAAAAGAAACAGAGACATTTTTTTAACTTATATTTGAGAACGAGACAGGGGATTGTAATATAACAGTATGGAAAAAAAATCAACTATAGAAAAATTGAAAAAATGTTTTAAAATGTGACAAAATTTAGTGTCATTTTTTCCATAAATTAAAAAAAAAAACGTGACAACTTGTTTTAGAATTAAGTTAGTAATCAATTTTATATTTGAAACAGTAGCTTAACCTTTTATACAAGTTTATTCATTATTCACTTGACATAGAATGTTGTTATTGTATCCCTTTTGAAAAAGCCCTAACAAGTAAAATTGACAGGTTTGCTTTTGGTTCCCATTAATTTTTTATATTTTATTATTGGTCCTCGATGACATTTGTTCCATTTTAGTCCTCCATAAATTTTTATATTTGCTTCGGTCTATGTTCTTGATAAATTGTTTTGGTCTGTGTTATTTATATTCATTTTCGCTCCTTTAGCATTTGCATCTCTCCCGTATCTTTAAATTTTCCTATCTATAACGTAAAATTCAAGTAAAATTAACATATGTTAATTCTCAAAGCTTTGTTTAAAGGATAAAAAATTAATTAATAATATTGTTTTCCTTCCCTTAGAGTTTGGATAGTTTAGAGTTACAAATCTATGAAGAATAAAAAGTTATTTAAGCCGAAAAAAAAATTCAGCTAAACAATGTAATTACTTAGATACCCATGTTCTTTAAATTTACCAAGACTAAACATAATATCAGATGCTTCAAAAGAAAAAAATTGGCGCCTCCTACAAGATCATTTTCAACGCAAAATTGGTCCACAGCAAGACAATTTGTACTGCATGGCGTTTGTAAATGCCAACTGAGTGCAATTATAAGTGCACGTTTATGTAGTAATACTAGTATTGGTAAGCAGTGTTCAACAAGGACATGCCTAAATATCACGACAGAAGATGTCAATTGTTCACATAGTTCTCAGGTTTAATTTACAGTATCCTCCTCCTACACTATATTTGGGTCGTGTGCATTGAGCAAATGGAATATTCACACAGTAGAAACATTTCAGTTGAACTAACCAGATTTCTCAGTCGTAAGCTCCTTCATCATCATATTCTGTTGTGCCTTGCCTTCCTGAAATGATATTGAACAAGCTCTTTGTGGCTCGGCCAACTGCTCTAGTAGTCTTTCTAGCAGCTCCAGCAACAGCAGGTTGCAAAGAAATTATGGGCAAACTCGCCCTCTCTTGGATCATGGCTGTATTGAACCGAACTATAATCAGACTAACAAAGAAGACAAGATTGCACTGATATCACCCCATGTATTAGTATCCCCATTCAACAAGTGCTCCAATTGCTTGCTCGAAAGAATATTGACTACTTAATTCGATGCTTTAAGCTGTTAAATGGAATCTAAACTCCTAGTGTGGAAAAAGATTGATGATTGATTTGTGTGTTGGAGTTTATAATTCAATGGCTAACACCTGAGTCTCTTACAGAAATCCTCTGAAAAATGTAACACAAGTTTCAACCCACAATAGGAGTTAGAAAAATTCAAGTGTGCTTGCCTAGCCTTATTTCTTATTTCTCTGATACCCCTGTTGTATAGTTAAGATTAAGTGGGGAAAATGGAAAAGGAAAAACCAAAGAAATCCCAGCAAACACAGTATACGTACACTCGGTTTGTTGTCGTGCCATTGAACTAAATTGTCGGAGTTTAGCTTCTGCTGCTTGCACAACTTGAGCTGACGCGTTGACTCCGTCTGCTACTTCCTGGCTGATTGCCAAAAAACATATGATTAGATCAAGATATGTCATGTCGTTGAAATATTGACTTTGAAAACCAATTCCTCATAAGAGGAACACTACCATTTCTTACAGTCTTTTAAACACTCTTTTGTTATTAGGTGAATTTTTTGTGGGTCGTACTTATTTGGGGTGGGGGTCCTCACAAATTGAACCCAATAATAGTGCGTGAAATTCCTTTCATGATAAAAGGGCGTTTACTTTTTATCATTACCAGTTGCCAAATGTTCAAAATTCATTTACTTTCCTGAAAAAATTTATTGAGTTGTATTGATCATATTGAACAATGTAAGCCAGCTTTTTCACTTGCATACTTAACAAAACATTGGGTGAATGACCAACCACATTTTCCAATATGGAACTGAAGGATTCAGAAGGATCTCTCCCATGCCAGCTAAACTTCAGAAAGTAAACCAATTATAAAAATTACAAGTCTTGCATGAAGCAATCAGAATGAGAAAAACATTGATTATGTTCAACTGAATTTTATCCCAACACACCCGATCTACAGTTAATAATCAAAAAGACAACCAACATTTAGAAAAAAAATATATGGAAAGAAATACAGCAACAATGGAGTCAAAGCAAAGTAAACATTGTTACCTTAGATCACTTAGTTCTAGAGTTAGATCACTTATTTCCATCCCAGAAAGCCTAATAGCAGTCATGGTACTAGGGAGCTCCTCACGAGCTGTATCAGCCAGCTTTGAAAGGGATATTGCAGCATTTCTTATCGCCTAAGGAAGATGTACAAAAATGGTATATGAGTAGTTTGAGTCTGTTTATGCTTAACAATTATCCAAACACGAATATTTAGTGGGTGACGTATGATATGTCTAGGAAATAAAACATAGATGAGAAAAACAAAACAACACGAAGGAAATTCAATGTTGCAGAGAGAAGTGGTCTAGGCATAGCCAATAAGGCAAGTTAAGTTCCTATTAAATGAAACAAAAGTTGAAGATCTTCCACCAGAGAATACAAATAAAAAACCAAAGATTAATTTACATTAGCATTCATCAATAGAGACATAAGTCGCGTAAAGATTAATTTACATTATCTAAACAAAACTATCTAAAATCCAAAGCTCCCCCTAAGGAAAAAAAAAATCCTTTGTTTGAACAGTTAAGTTCAACTAGAATTCTTTCAAATTTGAAGTATAAACAATGAAATCTAAACCTATCAATTTATTATAGAGAACCAAAAGGAAGCAAATGCAACCAACCAGGCAGAATAACAAATGTTTATACATACTGCACTTACAAATATAAGCAACGTGATAGACAACTTACAAACAGGGCGGGAACAGCAGCAGCAACAAAGCTAGCGAATGCCACTGAGGTCTGCAGAAACAATAGTCAAAACATTTTCAGACACAGAGCAACAAATTTAATTCAAATCGAGTTGATGAAACACTCAACTCAAATTACGGTATTAATTAATTCATGAGAATATTGAGGGCTGGAATAACCTAAATAAACGTAGCCGAACAAAAAAAAGAAGGATCATACCGTAGAAGCGATGAATGCGAGGAGAAAGAAGGCTTGGTCAGAAGAAGTGAGTTTGGGTAAGGGCGAAAGAAACGAAGGAGTTTGAGGGGTTGTTACTTGGGTGTGGAAGGTTTGGTCGTTGAGAAGAGGTTGTTGAGATGGGTTGGATCCACTGTGTGACGGCGCAGAGGAGCAACGTGTGACAACCATGGAAGAAAAATTGGTGTTGGAAGAGACGAAAAGAGAATGGAAATGGAGTTGTCTGAAAGTTTTGGAAGAGTGTCGGAAGAGAGGGAGCAATGGAGAAGAAGCATGCGAGCTTGCAAGAAGAGAATTCATGGCTATCGATTTGGGGCAAGGAAATGTGACTGTGCTGTTACACTACTCAGACAACAATGACCTGAATCACTAGTTTAATCTTCTTTTTAAGGTATAACCATCCATCAAGTTGTTAACCATACACTTAGGAATCTATATTAAAATATCTATTATTTACTAGTCTTTGTACCTATTTGTGGTATTTTTTTTTTAATATTTGATGTTTAATAATGAAAGTAAATTTTATAGAATTGATTAGTTTTATATGTTTTTTTTAAATTAGAATAATAATAATAATAATTAAAGTAATAAATAATAATAAATTATAAAAATATTGTGTATATATTAATTTCAATAATTATTAAATATATTTTTATAATGATTAGATGTGATATAATATGTTAAGCTTAAAATAAATTAAATAAATTTGTGTAAAAAGAGTTTCATATATTATCTATAATAAATAATTGAGTTAAATATGTTTTTAGTCCCTAAACTATTAGTCGGTTTTTCGTCCCTGTTTCAAAGTAAGGTACAATTTGGTCTTCATCATTCTTTTCGAAACGTTCCTTGTAGTCCTCGAAAACTAAACACTGTTTAAAATAAAACGAAGGTTTCGAAAAGAATGAGGACCAAATTGTACCTTAGACGAAAACCAGAAACGGCCAATAGTTTAGGGACTAAAAACATATTTAACCCTAAATAATTAAACTTTTATTTCTAATAAATGATTTAATTTTTTAAATCAATTTAGTAGTAAAAAATAAAATATAAAGCAATGTATAAAAATTAATGTAATAATTGAAAATTTTAAATATTTTATTTGAATTGTATACCTGAGACTTAAATCAATTATGGATAATTTGTAAATACTTATCAAATTTATGAATTTATATTTTATTCAATAAACAATTGTGGTTAGATTTTAAAAAAGATAAATAATAAATAAATATATTTAAATACAACAATTATATTGAAAATTGAAAATGTGTTACCATATCCTATATATTTTTGTTTTTAATTTTCTTAAATTATTTATATACATGTAATACAGGGCATTGTTACATTTATAATATGAGTTTAAGTTTATAAAATATGTTTGGATCTAATGTTTCAAGTACATAGTGTTGTTAAGTGTCACATTTGTAGCCCTAAGCGATGGAAAAGTGACGTTGAGTGTCTATTAATGCCAAAAAAAAAACTTGGACTGAGTAGAGTAAAATGACGTTTGAGCAGTGGTTTGAAAAAGAGTCTCGAAAACGTTTTAACCTACCGCTGAGCGATGGAAAAATGACGTTGAGCTGATATGGAATTGAGAGCAGTGACATGACTGACAGGTCAAAATGGGTTATAATTTCGTATAATTTGTATCCTTCCTTCCTTCATGAGATTAGTTGCTGTATAAGAAAATCATAAAACTTACAAAAAAAATAAAAAAAGGTATATCAAAGGCTTAACCACAATGTACAAATAATTATTATTCCAATACAAAAATAATGAGAATATACATACTAAACTTGGAAACAAAAAGGAGCACATTCCCAATTCCCTAAAATTGAAGGTGTTATCCTTAACATTCAGTCCAAGTCTAATGATTCAAGGACCCTGCGAGCCTGGTTCTGGAGGAATGTTAGTCTCTCCTCTGGTCCCAGTGTTGGGTCAAACTGACTGGCTGCCCATATCAACGAGGCTGTTTTCTCCCCCAGAAGACGCCTTGTATCTTCATGTATACTTGCCAAAGGAGCCGAATCTCTTCCATTCACATGTCCAGTGAGTAGCAGCAAAAACTCTCCACATTTTAACCTAAGATAAAAAATCTCCATTATTTTAATTGAGTTACCTCCAGACTTAGAGCCACCACATGACAAACTTCAAACATGATTAAAAACCAAACAATTTTTCATCGCTTTCCACGGAAAAGATTGGCACAACAAGCTTAGATGCTTCAAGGTTTACAAATTTACAGTGCATTCTAACTTACAGAAACTCCTTTGTATAAACTAAGCAGTCAAAAGAGAAGAAAAATACTTATAATGTGCCGTGGGGTAACGTATTTGCATGGAATTCTTGATTTCTTGTTTCCTTCCATATGTTTAATACTCAGGAGATGCCTGCACTTGGACTTGAGATCCTTCAAGAGTTTTCATCAGTAAATGTGTTTCCCAATTTCTTATTGGCAAACATTCTACCTGAGTTTCAATTGTTTTGAAATGTTAAGGATGTTTTATTTGGACAGGGATATCCTTAATAGGATATACAATAGTGCTGGTTACTGGTGAGAAGGCCCCACAAAACCCTTTTCACAAAATATCTTTGTGCCATAAATGCTCTGTAAGCAATAGTCACCTCTTCCTCCTTATGAGATTGGCAGATTTTAGTAACATGCTCTTGTGCGGTTTTTCGAACACTCAATTTGTCTGCCTGATTTACAGGTATTCTTTGCTAACTAAGTCTGATATTGTGGAAGTTAGATTGATAATTTATCCACTTCTGATCAAGGGTTGTGACATTTCCAGTGTCAAGGACAGAAATTTTACTTACAAGTTTCTCCATTCTTCTCTTCTACGCCACAGGCTTGCTTTCTAACTGTCGAACTGCACTACTCCAACAGATTTTGACATGTGATGGCCACTCAAAATATTCTTTACATTTAAGAAATGAAATTAGATAAATGCTATATGATCGAAGCTCAATAAATTAGAAATTTCGATGCCCTATTCTCATACCATAGAACAAACTCTACCAAATAGCTTGAAGAATAAGAAAGTAAAGCAACACAATTTTACAGGACTAACAAGCATGGCCTATAAGAATACAGCAATAAACCGAACAATACTGGAGTAAAGAAGTACCTGAGATTTTCATCCACTTGAAAATCACATGTATAAATTTTGTTTGGAAATAATAATAAGATATTAATAATTTAGCTTAATTCCCACCCTTTTTTCCTTCATTGGTTAGTTGCTGTAGAAGAAAATCATAAAACTTAAAGGTATATCAAAAGCTTAACCACATTGTAAAAACAATTACCATTGCAATAAAAAAGGAGAATATACATACAAAACTTGGAAACAACAAGGAGCACATTCTCATTTGCCTAAAATTGAAGGTGTTATCCTTAACATTCAGTACAAGTCTAACGATTCAAGGACCCTGCGAGCCTGGATCTGGAGGGCTGTTAGTCTCTGCTCTGGATCCAGTGTTGAGCCAAACTGACTGGCTGCCCATATCAAGGAGGCTGATTTCTCCCCCAGAAGACGCCTTGTATCTTCATGTATAGTTGCCAAAGGAGGCGAATCTCTTCCATTCACATGTCCAATGAGAAGCAGCAAAAACTCTCCACATTTTAACCTAAGATACAAGATCTCCTTCATTATTTTAATTATTTTATTTGAGTTACCTCGAGCTTGCGAGCCACCACATGACAAACAAAATACTGAAACATGAAAAAAACCAAACAACTTTTCATCCCTTTCCTTGGTAAAAGTATGGCCCAACAAGCTTAAATACTTCAAGGTTTACAAATTTACAGTGCATTCTAATTTACAGAAATTCCTCCATAAAAACTAAGCAGTCAGAAGAGATGAAAAAGACTTCTGATGTACTGCAGGTAACGTATTTGCATGGCATTCTTCATTTTTGTTTCCTTCCATATATTTAATACTCCAGAGATGCCTGCACTTGGACTTTAGATACTTCAGGAGTTTTCATATAAATGTGTTTCCCAATTTCTTATTGGCGATCTTTCTTCCTAAATTTCAGTTGTTTTGAAATGTTTAGGATGTCCTATTTGGACAGGGTTATACTTAATAAGATATGCAATAGTGCTCTGTAAACAATAGTCACCTCTTCCTCCTTGTGAGATAGTTTAGGAGTTTCGAGTAACATGCCTGGGCTGTTTTTCAAACACTCAATTGGTATACTTTGCTAACTAAATCTGATATTTTTGAAGATCGATGGATAGTTAATCCCTTTTTATCAAGGTTTGTGCCATTTCCATGGTGTTAAGGACAGAAATTTTACTTAGAAGTTTCTCCCTTCATCAGTTCTATGCCACAGGCTTGCGTTCTAACTGCCTTACTGCTCTACTCCATCAAATTTGGACATTTCATGTCTACTCAGAATATATTATTTGCATTTACCAAATTAAATAAGATATATGCTATATGATCGAAGGTCACTAAATTACAAATTTTGATGCCTTGTTCTGATAGCATGTATCAAGTCTCTGCCTAATAGCTTGAAGAGATAAGGACTAACTAACAAGCATGGCCTATCAAAGAATAAAGCATTAAAATGAACAACACTATGAAGAAGCAGTACCTGAGATTTTCATCCACTTGTTTGTCTCTTAGAAGGTCAGCAACTTCCATAATACCATTACATTTCTCGAAATCCTGATAAGTAATTATCAAGAGAAATATATTAAAAAAACGAATAACAAAAGAAATATTCCTTAGCAGAAAACTCTGCTAAACCTCCAGTGGAACATCAATCAGTAAATCCTATCGCCCAAGCGAAGACTCTCAGATATCAAAAGCTTTTATAAATTGGAAAAGAATGGAAGAGAAAATGATGGCATAAATTCCTGAAGCACAACTCTTTTCCCTCTTTATTGGCAATGACAGCTGAAAAATTATTTTGCAACTTTTCCTCATTTAAAAACAAATACTGTTGAAGCAACAACTCAGTTCATAAAAAAATGAACACAAAAAATAAACAAGATGTTAATTCTCAAATTATAGAAAAGTGATACATATTTGTAACTGCTGTGAAGAGTGTCAGGCTACCATTTGATTGGATGATGAATCCACCATCAACGAGATTAAAGCATCTAAGCAGGCACCTTGCTCCAATACTCCACGAGTGGATAATATATTCATTAAAACCTACAAAAGTACAGCAATTTTTAAATATATAACTCAGTATCTAAATGTTCATATCCTTTTTTAAGATTGGAGGCCTCGGTGGGAGAGAGAAGGAGTGTCTTGTGCACGTGTGCTATTCATGAATCGCACTTTGTTTTGCATACAATTGCAGTGCCATGCTTAAATCAAAGGAAAAGGATAAAAACATCTTTTGCATTTGGATTCCATTCAAAAAAAGGT